GGTGCCTGGAGGTTTTGTAGGCAGCAACCGTCACCGCTGGCACGGCCCTCCAGGTAAGCATGAGCGGGTGCCGCATGCGAGCCTCTCCCCCCCCAGTCCCTTGCTGCAGCTGCGGAGCCAGCCACGGAGCTGTGCAGCTGGTTGCATGCTAGTCTCCCCCTCCCCTGGGTGGGCAGCCAGGCAGCATGTGTGTGGCCCGCACATGGCAGGCACTACCACAGTGCACCCTGCATCACTTGCCCGCAAAGCCCCTGCAGAGGGGTACCCCTGCCCTCACCCCCTGGGCCTGCTCCCAGCTGTGGTGTGCCACCTGGGGCTGGCAGCAAGCCCCGCTCCTTCAGCCCCCAACCATCTTCCCCAACCCTGCCCCACAGCCCCACTTACCTCCATGCTCCAGGGGTGAAGGGCAAGTCTGAGCCTGAGTCCGAGCCCAAGCCGGAGCCAGGCCTTAGCAGCCTCAGAGGCTCAGGCCCCACCCTCCCCCTCCCCCTCTGGGCAGGGCTGGGGGTTTCCCTCCCTTTCTGCAATCTGCTCTTGCAGGCTGAAGCTGTGCCAGCCTGCAGGAGCTCTTTGCAGAAGCGGAGAATCTACAGATTTCTCTGCTAAAAAGGGAAATCCACGTTTTCTCTGATCAAAACAGAGAATCTGTGGTTTTCTCTGTTTTTCCATGGGAAATGGAAAACCCGGTTCCCTGGTGATGATGCACCACACCATCTACACAGCCCTTTGCAAGATCATAGGTCTGCCCCAGGACAGAGGCTGGCTCCTGTCCTGCCTGCCACAATGCACCTACTTAATGGCACGATGCACAAAGCAACTAGCAGTGGCCAGCTGGCAGCCACATCAAACTCCTTCATGGATGGGCGTGGTCTGAGGATTGCTGCATCACACGCTTCTTCAGCCTTGCTCACCATTTCCTTCCCTTTGAGGCATGCTTCTCACACACAGCCCACTAAACTTACTGTGTCAGGACAGGAACAATGTGCTTCATGGACTGAACCACTGGTGTGAGGCAAGAGCAGAGCAGATGCATCCCCCGTCTGTTCTTCTACCCTGCAGTGTCATGGTTATCACAAAAAGTCAGTTTGTACTGTTTTATTTAGGGCACTTGGCAACTGGATAATGTGCAAATGCCAGTTTTCTCCATTAGATGAGAACCGGTTTGGAATGGCTGGACTCATTCTGTGAGGACATTTAAGTAACAAGTCATTGCAAAGTTATCTTGATCAGAGATGGTGAATTCTGTTCAGTGCATCTGTCCAGAGTTCAGCACCGCTTATTTACAATCCTTCAGTCCTTCCCTGGAATTAAAACTCTTGAAAACTAGTTAACTAATTTTTTCAAGAAAATAGATACTAGCTGAAGAAACACATTAGTCAGTTTTGTTGCAAATATTTGCTACTGCTGGTTCTAATAGGACTAAAAAGCTCAAATCTTGCTTCTGCCAATGTAAATCAGATTTGCTTGCTATTGGCTTCCCTCAGAACATCATTGGAAACTTGCAGCTAGGCTCCAATGTACATCCAACAGATGTTATGCATACTTGAAAATGAAAAGTATGAAGGACACACAGGTAGACTGGAGTGCGCATGAACTCAAATACCTCCAGCTGCAGCATGCAGGAAGCATTAAGGGAGTTAGACACTATGAGTGGGTCTGTGTGGCACAAGTCAGTGCCACATAGAGATACCAGGGCTAGTTTGGGTAATGGAAACAATAGTGGTGCAGTAACAACACCTTAGCAGGCCTAATTAGTCTAGGCAGAGAATTTCATCAACGTAGCTTCTGATAACAGAACTGTACATTGAGACTGCGCTTTGCCATATAGACACCCTGGGTGTTCTATTTTCCATGAGGTTTAGACCAGTCCTTCTACTAGATTTGTAATCTTCCTATAACTATAGGGATGTTGTATGGAGCAGGCTATGATGGATTTGGGGTGACAAAAGACCAGAAATACAAGCCGCTTCTCAGGGCTTAAGTTGCTTCTGGAAAATAAATAAAATGAGAGGGAGTAATGATTTTACTGAACACCCAGATTTGATTTCTCTAGGTGTTTCCACCTAAATCTTCCTCAGATTCAGAAGCAGAAGAGGAGACAGGTGATAATGGTATCATTCAGCACAGAGGTGACCTGCTGGATTTTCTCCAGTCAGGCAAAGAGATGACAGCTGCCTCTGGCTTACATGAAGGATACTATGGCACATTGCAAAGTCTCAAGATGAAAAACAGACAGCAGCTGTTAGAGGCGGGCTTGCTGTATCAGGCAAAGTTAGAGAACAACCGCAAACTGTCCAGGGAAGATGAGGAGCTAAAAGACTTCTTCCAAGACAATGGACCATGGACTCTGAAGACAAGGTCCTATGATGCTTTGAGGTAAGACGCACAAAATTTATTTTCTCTTCACTCAAGAGCATTCTGGGAACTTCCACATAAAGGAAGCCAGCAATATAATGACAATAGAATAGTATCATGCATTTACTGGTAAACAACTTTACAAAGATATCCAGGTTGTAGCCATATTGGTCTAGAAGAAAAAGCAATCAGGACTCATAGTAGAGATGATATCTTTTAAGATCAACAAGATTTTTGCAAAAAATAATTCTTTAATTGCAAGCTTTCAGGCACAAACACCCTTTATCAGGCATTGGAGAAAAGATTATAAAGAGTTCTCCTGGGTAGAAATGAAAGTTCATATGTCATAGGATTTCACAGAGGAGTCAATAAATGGAAAAAACTCCTCTGAGCAGTCAGTTCATAGCTGGTATGGAGTCTCTCACCTCTTGTGAGGTTCTGTGATGATGCAAATTACCTTGAAACAAAGGAAAGAGCAGTGGGTCAGGAACATTTTTTTGCAAAAGTCTTGTTGGTCTAAATAAAAAATATCATCTCTACTATGAGTCCTGGTTGCTTTTTCCTCTAGACCAATACGCTACAACCTGGATACCTGACACATGGAAGATATCGGATTTTAGCCGATTTTTAAAATGAAATCTTCATATTTTCCCAAGCAGAAAGCAACTGTGATCACCTGAAACCTGAGACACTGCTCCTGCCTTTGTTTCAAGGTAATTCGCATCATCACAGAACCTCATGAGAGAGACTCCATACCAGCTATGAACTGACTGCCCAGAGGAGTTTTCCATCTATTAACTCCTCTTTGAAATCCTATGAAATATGAACTTTCATTTCTACCCAGGAGAACTTTTACAATCTTTTCTCCAATACCTGATAAAGGGTGTTTGTGCCCAAAAGCTTGCAATTAAAGACATTTTTTTGCAAAAATCTTGGCTTAATAAAAGATATCATCTCCACGAGAGTCCCGATTGCTTTTTACAAAGATAAGCATGAGTCATTTTACAGACGGAAAAAATAAAAGCATGGGGCATTCATCCATCCTCTCTCTGTTGCAGGAATAGAACCCAGGTGTCCTGAGGCCCAGTCCTGCCCTGTAACCACCAAAAAAGTATATGAGATTTTTATCATAACCAACCAAAAGGAAGCTCTCCATTTCCTGTCCATCAGATTTCCAAACAAATTCCTTGTTTGTTCTTGATAAATTCTCTTTGTTCTGCTCGTAGATTTGGGGACATGAGGCAGTCCAGTTCTTTGACTGACCTCACCTGGGACAGTCCCTTAATTCATAAATCCCATGAGAGGCCAAAGAGCGCCACATCTGCCTGGATCTCTTCTATTACCATCCCCCAGCCTTTCAAGATGACCTTACGGGAGGCTCACAAGAAGTCCCACTTGATAAAGTCACGTGCATTTCTTGAGCTAGAGAAAGAGAGAGACAAAAGACAAAGCCAAGAGGAAGCAGAGTGCCAGAAGCAGTTTCGGGCACAGCCAGTGCCTGCCCATGTGTTCCTTCCACTCTACCAGGAGCTAATGGAGCAGAATGAGATTCGCAGACATGTGGCAATACAGAGGAGGAAGGAGCTGCTCCTTTCAACTCAGCAACCCTTCAGCTTCATGGAGAAGGAAAAGGAGAAGGAAGCCATCAGAGAGAAGGTTCTGGCAGCGCTGACTCCAACTGAGAGCTCCAAACAGAAAGCCAGCAAGAAAGTCTCTAAATCCATCTACAGCCCTGTTCTTGGAGATAAACTCAAAGGTAAAGTGCTCATGCTGTTCCTTTGAAGGGATTCTATATCTGTGTTCCATTTCACCTCTCTTCCTGCCTGATGGATTGCACTGCCAAGAAATGCTGAGAAATAAGTTTATCCCATAGATTTTGTAGTGTTTTACAGAATTTAAAATTGGAAGGGGCCATTAAATCATCTAATCTGATCTCCTCTCCTGGATTTTATATACATCTCCAGATCAAATTAAATGATTTAATAGCCCCTTCCAATTTTAAATTCTGTAAAACCCTACAACAATCTATGGGATAAACTTATACACATACATATAAACAGGCCACGGATCCCCTCATGTTGAGTTAGAGACACAGGAAGAGAGATTAGGTTGCAGTAGCAGGAAACTGATTTTTGAGATATACCCAGATAACCCTAGCAGGCAAATTTTACCCCAGGCTACACAATAAGGAGGCCAAGGGCAGGAATACATCCAACAATTAGTGCATTGAGAGGGGGAAAATAAAATCTTGTTGACCCCTGTAGGCAGCTATCCAAAGCCATGAATTAGAGTAATTGTTTTCACACACATTGACCAATGTCCTGGCACAGTGAAAGCAAGGCAGGACATCCTGTTCTACTTCTACACCACTGCCTTCAGACCCACATAAGACAGGTTTTTTCTCTAGAAGTCTTCTAAAAAGCACTTATTTTTTTTAAATACCTAATGGCTCCTTAGGTAGTGAACACCTAGTGAAAATGAGCCCCCACCTTCCACGATAAACTGCAAAAAGGTAATTAAATCTTGGAGCTAGGAAATTGCATTTTATTTTTAGGTTGAATTTGTTTAACAACTTCCAGCCATTGAATCCTGTTATCCCTTTGTCAACAATGCTGAAAAATCCCATGCCTCCACATCCTTCCATGCTATCAGTAATTTTTTCTAGTTCAAGTACCTGTACACAATGATCAGCTTTCTTTCCAACCTTCTTTTTAGTCTGCTTTCCAGTGCCCCAAACACATACCAGGTTCTTTGAAGAAAGTCCATTACTTATGTACATCTTCAACAGAGAACTTTTGTGCCAACACTACTGTCTATCATCCCTTCTACAAGGAAAGTAGTTTTACATGTTTTTAATGTTGCATAGAAAAGAGTCTTACTGTGTCGCATAGGAAAGTCTCATTGTTGCATTTCACTCCTGGAACGTAGATCTTTCACCTCATGTGAAAGACTAGTCCCACAGAAGGACTAAGGATTTGGGGAGGCAGAAAACCTAAAGTATTTTCTAATATAGGTCAAGATCAATGAATTGCACATTTATATAAAACAAGAAAAGTTGCCCAATAAAGGTGAATTTGAGTTATATGTCTGAATTGTGATAAAATTTTAGGGAAATAAATCTATGGGGGAAAACAGCTGGTCATAACATAGCCTCCACGCAACATTCCTGCAATACAACATATAGTAACAATAGAGAAATAACACATCCACTAATTTTCTCCCTAGAGGGGAAAAACGTGTTTGCTAATGAGAGAGAGCGTGCAGAGCGAGCAGCTGAGAGTGCTTGTGGCGGGGTCCGGAATAAGTTCTAAAGGACAAATCTCTGTGGAGGAGGGTAGGGAGGGGAATGAATTCAAGCAAATAAATGTTAAATGGTTTGGGAGAAGAAAATGTTAGGAGTCAAGGCTTTGCCTCCTCTGGGGAGAATTCCCAGCCTCACCTATCTGCATTAGCAGATTATTATGAGAGATTGAGAAGCAAAGCCGTCCTAGTACTGTCAGTTTGTCCCTCTCCTGCACTGGCAGTTCCTAGCTTTGCACACTCTCCTTCAATCTCATGTCAAAACAGTTTGATTTTGATCCCCAGAAGCTGAACTCTTCAGGAAAATACGCATTCAGATGAGAGCCAAGGATCTGCTGGAAAGCTCTTTTGCTCCTTTTGATCCCAGCAGTAGACAAAGAGAGCCACACTTCCGAACTGCCACTAAGACTAAGGAAGAAAAACTTGGCTTCCTACAGGATAACTTCAGCTTTAAACCAAGAATTAACCCAGCAGTACCTGATTTTGGAGGACTTTACTGGGCGTTCCAGAAAGAAGCAATAAGAAGACAAGAAGTCAAAGAGGCAACACCTAATAAACTGTTCAAACTAAGAACCGCCAATCTGCACTGTAGGCAAAGACAGGCTAATGAGAAGATAACAAAGGTGAGGAGCAATGTGCGTCTGCAACACTACACCCCCTTTACATTGCCCCACATGTTAGGCTTCTGCTATCTCTGGGCTTAAATTTATAATACTATATACACACACATTTCTTTTACTGAAGGTGACCCATTCAGCAGGCAGAGCTGTCATTGAAAGTCCAGGGCAAGCCAAGAGCAGTGCAGAGAGCCACTACCACCTACTCCTAATTAGATCTAATCTACCTAGAACTTGGTGAAGGCAAGGAGGGAAGAAGTCTCCTTGCAAGACTTAAGTCCAGAGCTTTCTCCATAAGCAAGATGGGCTTAAAGCACAGTGAGCTGTTTCTGTCAAATCAAAAGGTAGAAAACTGGGTTCATGGTACAAAGAGAGCAGTTCAGGCACTATCAACAACCACACATTTTCTGTATACAAAGATAACAGCCTTTCCTTCGTTCAGTTCCAGGCTGGGTATTTGGAAAAAACAACAGATATCACAAGTTGTTATTATAATTTGCCTTACATGCTCCCTGTTTTAATCATCGTACTTGTTTACCTATATTGGACAATCTGTATCATTAAGTAAAACTAATTCGTGTGTAAAATTATTTATGAAATATAAATAAGAAATTTAGGAAGTGAAAACTGCTGCTTAAAACTAGACAAACACTAGAAAGGGACTCAACAAACAATTGTGCACCAGCTGAAAATTATCAGGAGTGTCTTTTCCATCTGTTTGACCATGACATGCAAGAACTCCTAGCTGGTTGTACTGTGTGAATGAAATGGAGCTCTGTTCCCTGACCTTGGCAGTCAGGTTTCTCTCTTCAGTAGACACCCAAAGAGAAGATTCTACACATTGTTCATAAGTATTCTGAATTTGATTGCATTCCTTTCAGGATTTTCAGCAGCTTTCTTTGGTCCCCATGCAAAGAAGTCATTCTTTGACTGGTCTCTCCTCTCTCTCTTCCAACACCCTTCCAGTGAATATAACAGATGCAGCAAGAAAGAGGGAATCTGCAATTAGGTGAGTGGAAAAATAGGAGCCTACAAGATCATACCACACACAACAAAATAGATTACAAGATATTTAATGAACTTCCGGTTTTTTTTGGTTTTATTTTTTTTTGCTCCTTCCCATCATACTGTCCATTCTTCCACTAACTGTATTGGTGGTTTTAGAGGTGGCATCTCTGCCATCAGTAAAAACTGCTAACTTCAGTAACAGACACTTTCTTCATCACCCTCAGGTTTTCTCCCATGCACTCTACATTCTCTCTCTCTACTCCTGTATAGTCACATCACCTTAGTATTAGAGTAGTTATTGTTTTTGCTCTAGGACCTTCCTCCTTCTGCTCTCCCCTCTCCCAGCTTTCCTTGCTTGTTCTTCCCTCTTGCCCATACTAAGTATTCTAGGTATTACTGTAGTAACACATCAGCAGTCCTTTGAGATGACATCTCAAGCTGCAGCATCTAGCAGTATTCTCAGCCAGTATGCAGTCCTGCCTCTGAAGCAAACTTTTGTTCTGTTACTTATTTTATCTGTATAGATATGTCCAGGAAGACAAAAAGCAAAGGGAGAAAGAAGGAATTAATTGGATGGAGGTACACAGAAAGAAGTCCCAGGCCATGCATAGATCTATAAACAGCCGAGCAAAAGCCCTGGACACCCATAAAAGCCTAGAGGAGACCCACAAGGAGAAGTTGAAACAGAACTGGTCAGTATATCAAATCATTTCAAGAGAGATGAATCCTTGAAGCTGTAGCTTGTCTATGATCACCAGATCATTAGTTTCGAGGCGAATTAGGCCTTGGTGCCTCCAGCTCAACAGGCAGCCACACTCATTTTGATTTCTTTGCATTTCAGCACAGCTCTTTTCAAAGAAATAGAAAAACCTTCAGGCCAGTTTTCTGGGAGGGTTCCCATCAATGTGATCATGTTCTTGTAAAAGATTACATTTGTACCTTAACAGCCAGAGTCTTGAATGCACAATGTGGGAATTAGCAGTGACAATATATGGTCCTATAAGTCTGAATGTAGATCACCCATGTCAGTGCTCATCCTCCAGTGGAACCTGATGCTGGGCTGTGTTCATGGCAAGAATAGTTTACTTTGTTTGAAATATGTGGAATATAAGACAGAAGTAAAACAATTATGAATGTCCTGGGAGCTGAGGGACTTGAGTCGTTCCAGCCAATCAGAAGCCAAAAATCCAGTCTGCAGGAACCCTGTCAGCGGGAACCTTGATTAGTCCAGGAACTTTTCCATTTCAGGCAGAATGACCGAAAGAGAACAAAGGAATACAGAAAAGAGCTGGAAGAAATGGAGATACGAGTCAAGAACAGACCGTACCTCTTTGAACAGGTCACCAAGGTAACAACTCAGCTCTGGTAGCAGCATGGAGCACAGACTGTGTTCTCATTAATCTCTCAAAGCAGGAGTTAGGAATCTGCTTTGGAATCAACCAGGAATAGGGAGGTGCAAATCCTGTGTAGTCTCTGGACTACATTCAAGAGGGGGCAGACATAAAACAGTTATCCAAGCTCCTTCACCAACTTAAACATACACACACTTCAAAATGTCCTGCTCATCTATGAAGCTTTCCAGCTACTAACTTACATTACTAATCATGATTAGGCTTCATTGGTGTCAGACATCATATAAATACCTAGTCCTCGTCCTGAATGCCGTAACTTATAATCAACAACTTGGTATTTGAAGACCACGTTCAATCTGGCATTTTTTTCTGAACTTGTATGGAAAGCTACCTGGCATATCTTAGTGATACTCAAACTACATAGAGGCTTAATGTAGCTACTCATTTAAATAGCAAGGTTTTTGAGGCTAAGGCTTTTCATTCAGCTCATTTCATCCATGTTACAGTACCACCTACATATTTGATGCTGTATTAAAAGCATCTACAAGCTTTGCAGTGGGAGAAGTAATTTTCCCTGGGCTTCCTCTTTCAAGTATTATACACCATCTTTGCAAAGGAACTAGTCAGCTGTTCACTGAACTTAGATTTCTGAAAAGAGTCTTCTTCCTGGTTCACAATAAAGCTGATGAGCTAATGGAACATGGAAGGGAAAGACCCGAGAATCTGTCCAGTAACTCCATTTATACTAGCCACCTATCTGTCAATCTCATCATCAACAATCCTTCACAGTTGAGAATGACCGTCTTCCATGATTCCCTTATCTGTGGGTCCAAGCATGGTTGACAATACCAGCCCAGGATTAACAGCTTGTATTGCAATGTCAACCTAGTAAGAACTAGCCAATGTTAGTATGGCATTCACTCATTTTGAAAAGGATCCAATAATCTTTCCCCACATACTGCTAGCTTGATATAGCCCTTAGGAAAGCTGTAAGTCCTAGGTGAATGATATTTTGAAATGGACTTGTCTACAAGGGTTATGTGGAGTCAATGAAGGGTGTTACACATGGAAAAGATAGCTTCTGGTTTGTTTGCAGCTGGGCTGGAATGGAATTCTAAAGTGGAACTAATTATTTCCCAACCTCAACCTTACTTTACTTGGGCTGATACTTACCTGGAGAATCAGCACCAAGAAAGGAGGGTGAATCAGAGGGATGCACATGGCAGTTGGCTTGCTAGGACCAGGATATTTTTAACACTGTTGTGTAAGAGAAGGAATGGGCAAGAAACAGAAACATAGAAGGAGGTGAGTTCTGTTTGTGAGGGATCTTTGGGACACTTCCCTAGTGCAAAACCTGGTATAGGGTCATCTGCCTGTCAGTGCCTGAAAAGAATCTTGCTCTGATCACAGTTTCCAGGTTTTTTAGCCATGTACTTAGATGCCCTAAAGTAATTGTGAAGAAAGACCCAGTTCCAAAAAGGTAACGTGTCAGTTTCAATTCCATAGCATGATGCCAGACAAGAGGCAGAGCGACATTACCGAGATACACTTCAGCAGGTGGGACTGAATGAAGAATTCGTACAGAACAAAGGGAGAGATGCCACTGACATGCTGGAGGAGAAGTCCAGAACTCAAAAGGTAATCAAAGCAATGATACAGAATCAGTCCTTTTTGTCTTTGACTAGAAAGAAACCTTCTTCTTAAACAAGAAATTCCAGCGTGTATTCTCTCTCAGGTGAGAATGAAGCATAACTCTACTCACCCATACAAAATAACAAAGCTTTTTGTTACTATGACTTGCATAGCAAGTATTTTCCCATGATGCAGAGTAGAGATGCAGCTGTACACTCAGATCACTTCCAAGAACTAACAAAGGCTGTAACCATTTCTGCAGCACACAAGCCCAAGAAGCACAGACATTGGGTCAGCAGAGAAGAAAGAGAATAGAACTGAGGAGCTGCCAACATAAGAATGCAGTGGAAGAGTCCACGGAAAGACTTGCAAGTACTTTAATTCAAGATGCTCTAGTGTGAGCCCTCAAGGAACTATTTCCAAGTAGCTGACAATACATACATACATACATACATACGCATGCTGAGGAAAGGGGTGAGGATTGACTGCTGCCTTGTACATTTCCTGCCCTACATCACATCACAGTTCTGCAAACCAGAGTCATTCTCCCCATGAGCTACATCCATCTCCTCTCCTGTTTTGGGACTTGGAACCAGCAATGGGAAGCAGGCAAGGTAAGAGGGTAACAAGATTGCAGCACCATTGCAGAAAGGAAAGAGACATGAATGGCTAGAGCCTTGTATTACTGCCTGGGGAAATGAGACGTTTTTTCAAATTCTGCTTTGAATCACTTTTTTTCTTTTTTCCTTGCACTTTGGGATTTGTTGATGCCTTTCATGGAGTGTGTTGAGGTGGATTCTAAATAAGATATTTATGCAGAATAAGAGGATTATGGATTTGACCTCCTCTTAGAGAAGGTCTGGAAAGCAGCTCTCCTTCTCCCTGTCATCATGGAGGAAAGCACTCTATTATGAAGCTATATTTTATACCTCTGTTTTTTTGATTGAGATCACTGGTTTGTCCAGAAAATGGCAAGATTTACTATGAATGCAAATAAGAATGTTTGCACAAAAACTTAAAAGTAGTTTGTCACAGTGAGATTTCAAATAACGTAGATCTATATTGTTTTCTCCATTTCTAGGTGAAAAATCAGTTAATCCCTTCAAGCTTGCCATCTGCTTCAGCAGCATCCCAATTATTTGCCATAATTAAACAAAGTAGGGCTATCAAACTATTTAAAAATATTATTGCAATTAGTTGCATGATTAAAAAAATTAGTTGCAAGTAATCATGATTTTAATTGCACGGCTAAAAACCTCAAAATCATGCACAGAAAAACTCAAAATTATGCAGGTACTTTGTATTGGGGGGAGGGGGGACGGGGACCCCCCCCCCCCCCCTGTACACAAACCCTAGGCAGTTCCCAAGGCCTGGCCCTCCAACTCCGCCCCCTGCTCCCCAATACACTTACCTGCATCCAGCTGCTGAGTCTGCTTCCAGGACCCTGCCAGGCTGCTTGCTGGCCACGTGTGGCCCAGCCCCAGTGAGGGGAGAGGGGCTGCTTTTCCCACAGCACCAGCAGTGATTAATGCATGTTAAAGAAGTTAAAACCAAATTAATGCGTTAATCGTGCACGTTAACCATGATTAATTGACAGCCCTAAAATAAAAAGTAATTAATGTGGGGGAGGAGGGATGTGGAATGTTTTCTTTAAAATAAAGTTGAAACACGAAGATTGTACAATGGTTCCTTTTTTAACTTTTTGTGAAATATCTGATTTTCCAAATGTCTTTAGGCTGTAGGGAGGTGAGGGAGAAGTGT